CTTTTTTTTGAATTTTGTCACTCTTTTTAAGTTGTGTTACACAGTATTTTTTACTTCCTAATAATATTTCACATGATTTTTCAAAATACTCCTAATTTTAAGGGTATTTTTGTAAGTACCCCTAAAAAATTCACAATAATGAGGGCCAAACAGGGGCTAAGTATCTTTGGCAAGGCCCAAGGTGAGGGAATGATCCCTACGTCCAATTCTGGTGCTACCCATTGTAAAAATGATACGATTTGACGTAGTTATATCTTTAAACAGATATATAATCAACGTTGTTCTAAAAAAAGTAAAGTGTGGTTAGACAAAAATGTCAAGTCAAGTTATATATAACTAGATGGCAAGGTCAAAATTCGAACTTAAAACATGTAGTTTTACCTCAATACAGACACTTTTTATAACACTGATAACCAGACTTTGTACTATTGTAGAGTTGTTTCCTTATCGTCTCAGAAATGTACCCTTGAATAAAATGTGATGCATTTCTTAATATCATATCTCATTCGTGTACTAACGCAGTTTTCACTCCATCCAATACAATAATAATATAGCCCAATAACCTATTTCTGCCGTCGCCTTCACGAGACCTTTATTTCAGCCCCCTTCCCTCATTTCCATGCAACGATTCTATGACTTTATGCTCCTTGGACCGGTAAAAGGATTATTTCCTGTTGACCTTCTCATCGACAACACACACACTCACGTGTCTTTGATCAATCACAGGTATCAAAAACACGTAATTCACAAGCAACCAATGAATTTATATTCACGTAAACGCAGTCCCATAATCAAACGAGAATAGATTCAACTTATACTCCCAATCTTGTTCAAGTTTCGGAAGTTTAGAATTTTACCTGGTACCACTGTTTTGTTTACTTGTATACTGCCACGGCCCATTTAGGCAATGCGTCGAACATGTTCAGCGGATCATCTCCGGAGAACGGTGTAATCCATAACATACTCTCCTACGATACCAATATCATGCTAGCTGCGATTGTTTCTTTACTGCTTGTAGTTATATTTGTTTTGTTGTTGCATATATACGCAAAATGGTTCTTAGTTCTAGCCCGTCAAAGGGGTGGGACGTCAGGGTCGGTTCCGCAAGTATTCGGGGCTCGGTTTCATCATTTTCACACATTAACAGTTGATACGAATTACGCTATTTCTCCATCCAAGGGTCTTGAATCTTCAACCATTTCTTCGATCCCACTGTTCGTGTTCAAAGGAGAGGAACACAAACGTGGACTGGAATGTGTGATTTGTTTGAGTTTATTTGAAAATGAAGAAGAGGGCAGGAGACTACCAAAATGTGATCATGCATTCCATGTTGAATGCATTGATATGTGGCTCCATTCGCATACAACATGTCCCATTTGTAGAGCTCCTGTAGTATCTGACAATACAAATTCTGCAGATTCAAGTTCATCACAAAACGAAGAGATTCCGAATCATGGGTTATCAGAAAATGAATTGCGGATCAGCAATGTGGATTCTGTATTGGAAATCATAGTGGCGGATCCGAATTCAGAAATCGAAAATGTACAGATAAATGATTCATCACCATCGTCGTCCATCGGGAGCTCACTGAAGAGAATGTTTAGCAGGAACAGATCTGAGCGGAAGTTTGATTTACCTAGCAACGGCAATGAATCAAATATTTGAAGGTGCATTGGCTATCGATATGGTCTGTACAATTGCTTCTATAGATGAACCCACCCCCACCCCCCAAAAAAAAAAAAAAGAAAAAGAAAAAACCCAGTCTTGTATTGTGTAGTAATTATTTTGTATGAAACTTTCAGCGAAAACCTCTCTCTGATTTAAGGAGAGTGGATATGTTTGCTTAACAAGTCATGTGCAGATACTCAAAAATTCTCGACCCCTCCACTGACAACTCGGGCTTTTTTCTTCGAACGATCTTGCTACGTGTATATCCTACTTCACACTCTGACTTACCGAATTTACATTTTATACAATCTTACGTCATTTCAATTTCACACATTTAATTTAATCATTATAACACTTCCATGGCATCGATCTATCAAGAGAAGTGTACAAATGGCTTAATCCTTCTTCGAGAATGGGGTGAGTAGTTACTTTACTTGCATACCTCTATATCCAAGGGAAATCGTTAGGGAAACATTTCCATAAAAATGGTGAGTTGTACCATATTCAAAATAATTTTCAAAATGAATTTCAACCAATTGATATCTTCCCACAAATAATTGAAATTCGATTATTTGATCTCTCTATCTTCTATTTCTAGTAACAATTAAAAATTCTTTCCTTTAGAAATTGCATAATATAAACACAGAAACAAAGAGATCTTGTAAATAAGTATCATTAACAAAATGCCAGTATTTTAGTATAAAAAAAGTGCTAAAATGATTCCTTATTCTGCCTGCCACCCTATTTACAACGGCCATCACTCCACACAGGAAACAGATCTCCATGAGAGCTACAAATATTATTACATGAACTCTAATTTACTTCCTTTTTACACAGACTGCATAATCACAAGAAAAATATTCTCTTAATTCTTCTCCTGTTATACAGCCAGATTTGAACACTGAAATCTTTCAGACAAGGCAGCTCTCACGTTGTGATTTGAGCTGGTACTTGGTTTGCTGCTCGGACCAGTAAGCATGGGCAGTTAATACCCTGTCGAGAAGCTCCTGAGGTACCGGCTCACCCCTCCTTTGTTGAGGGGATATTCTTGCAGTGTGCACCAGTGTCTTCCACTTGTCCTTGAAATTCCCAGCGCACAACCAAGACGTCAATAAACGCATAGCATAGGGTTAAGAAAATATTGAA